AGAAAAGCCCCCCGGCCCTGGGAGTGGCCAAGGCCAGGCTGGACGGGCCTGGAGAAACCTGGGCTCATGGGAGCTTCCACCTCTGGCAGGGGGTGGGAATGGCTGAGCTCTGAGGTCCCTCCCACCCCAAAACCCCCAAGCCCCAGGACAGAGCCCCTCCATTTGCTGCATGGGATGGGATGCTCCCAGTGGTGGCTCTGCATTCCAGCCCCATTCCCAGTGTCTGATGTGGCCCTGGCTGTGCTTCCTTTGCCTCTTGCTCCGAACTGAACATTCCAGAGCTGCTGGAAACAGTGCCATGCCTGGCTCTTGCAGCTCTGCAGGAGATGAGTGGGATATCCAATCTACATTAATGCATATTCACACTTCCCAAAAGAGCAGCCCCAAGACACAGATCCTGCTCTGCCTCGTGCAGCTCCTGCCAGAGCCCTGGGGGGATATTTAGTGCTGGGTGTGGATGAGACAGCAAAAAAGGAGGGAAAGTTGGACCAGGATCCAAACAAAACCCTCTGCTTCGCTTCACTGGAATACACTGGGTGATTCCTGTGACGATTCTGGCTCTTTAATCCCAAGCTTTGTTTAACAAACAGGGAGTTTAAGGGGGAGGCCACAGTTAAATCCACTGGGATTTAACACGAGGGGGAACTTGTTTCTTCTGGAAAACCTGGAGCCAGGATGCCTTTGGCAGCTGTGTGGGGTGGTGGCTCCTTTGTGGACTCTGCACACCTGAAAGCACTGCTCAGATTCCAGGCATTTCCCACTTTGCCCAGGGTTTACCAGGAGGAAGGGTAAAAACAGGAGCATTGCCCAAAGTTACTCTTTTTTGTGTAATTTTAGGGCACCAACAGCCCCACACCCCTGTGGAAAGGTCTTTTCCAAGTGCTGGCCTTTCCTTGGCTGGTTCCTGGAGCAGCCTCAGGAGCTGGAGTGGACAAACCCCTGGGATTCCCCCCAAACTGTGGGAAGGATCCCTGGAGGGCAGGGGGGGACGAGCATCCCGAGCACAGCGTGGCTCTGGGGCAATTCCAGCCAAAAAGGGAGTGCAGTTCCCACCTGTGAGCTGTGCCCAGCCAGGTCAGTCGAGGTGAACAATGGATTTGTCCTCTCCTGCTCCAGTTTTCCTGTTTGCCAGGACACAGCTGCTGGGAAATCCTACGGCTCGTGTTCCCTTTCCCGTGTGACTCTCGGGAATCGGCTCCTTGAGGACCCTGGGCTTGATTTTTTTATTAAAATCCCCTTCCTGCTTTATATCCCAGAGAGGGGTTTCTTGCTGGGGGTGTTCCTGGCCTTTCAGGAAGCAAATCCTTGGGGGAAAAGCTCTTGGCAGGTCGTGGCATCCCCCGTGCAGGTGTCACCAAGCACCTGCTGAGCTGCTGCTGCCCCAGACCTTCAGCAGAGCCTTTTCTGATCCCTGTTCCCCCCCAGAAATCCTGGCAGCTCCATGAGGAGCCTGTTCCCACCTAAATCCGCTTCCTCACACAGCTGAGCAGGAATATTTTCCTGCTGATTTTTTGTCCCTGCTGTCTCCTCTCCAGCCTTTTTCAAGGAGAACAGCCTAAGGCTTGTTCTTAAACACGTCTGTCTGATGGAAGAGGAGTTTTATTTGAAGTGGGGGAGAGAATAAGCCTCAAAGTCTGAGTATCTCCCCAGAGGCCCTCCTGGTGTGCCCAGGGAGCTGCTGGCACGTGGGATGAGCAGCTCCAAAGGATGAGGGACAGTCTGGAGCAGGTTGGAGACCTGATTGCCCAGTGCAATTAAAGCCCTTCCTCTCCCAGCCCAGCCAGGGCTGGTCCTTCCACACACCTGGAATGTTTTTCCCGGGTGAGGAGGCGGCTCCTCCGAGGTGTCGGGAGAGAGGACTTCTTGTGGTGTGTGGAAATGAGCATTCCCTGGGCATAATGTGCACCCCCAGTCTGAACACCGACTGTGCTCTGTGCCTGAGGCTGCTGAAGGGGAGGGGAGGGAAGGGAAGGGGAGCTGCTCCTCAGGAATGAGGGATGAGGGAACAGCAGGGGGGGCTGGGAGCTCTGCAGAGCATCCCCTGTGCTCCCTGCCTGTCACCAGGGCTTTGCTGCCCCAGCTGGAGCTCAGGGGATGTCGAGACCTGGGTCACTGAGCGTTGCTGATCTCCACATTTCCAGAGTCCCCTTCCTTTATTCCCTGTAATCCTCCGGATTCCCGGCGTGTCTGCACCCTCAGAGCGGGGGTTCTCTGGAGCTGCTATGGCTGTGCAGGCACAGTTTGTCCCTGGCATGTCCCACATCTTGCTGACAGGTGTGTTTTTCCCCCAGGTGTGGCCCACCAGTGTTACCACGGATTTATCAAGGCAGTGCAAGAAGGGAATATCCAGTGGGAGAGTCGCACTTATCCCTATCCTGGCACCCCCATCACCCAGCGCTTCTCACACAGTGAGTACCTGCTGGGAACAGCTCTGGGCCCCTCCTTTGTGGGGGGTGGCTCCCCTGCATCCCTTGGAATCTGGCAGGGCCACACGTGCCTGGCACTGTGGGAATTCCAGCACTTTGCACAAGAACAGGGATTCGGGAGCCGCTGATCCCAGGAAGTGTTGGTGGAGCTGGGCTGGGATTGGAGCTCTCTGGCTGTGCCTGTTTAACGTGCAGGGATCTTCCTGCAGCTCCTCTTCTTAGGATTAAGGTTGGAAAAGCTCTCCAAGGTCTTGCAGTCAGCTGTTAACCTGGTCACCCCCAAATACGGCCCCAAGTGCCACACCCACACGTTTTCTGAACACCTCCAGGGATGGAGACTCCACCACCTCCCAGGGCAGCCACTTCCAATGCCTGACCACCCTTTCCAGGAAGGAATTATTCCCAATATCCAATCTAAACTTCCTGGCCCAGCTGGAGGCCGTTCCCTCTCCTCCTGTCCCTGTTCCCTGGGAGCAGAGCCCGACCCCCCCCAG